TTGTAAAGAAGCTTTCAGTGAATGTATTCAGATACACGAGGAGAGACAAAAAGAATTAAATGAATTTCTGGAAGGTAGAGGAAAAGTACAGAAAAAAGCAAGAGCTGAATCAATGAAAGAAATTGAAGATTTTTTAACCTACAAAGAATTGGTATGATAATATGATTAATGAGTAATTAAAACATTTTGCTAATGTTTAATTGCTTTAAAAACATATTGGAATACAAATATTGAGTTGGTAGTAAAGTAATTTCATTTTTAAATTCTATAACAAATAATTGATTTTTGTTCTTTCTACCTTTTCTTAATATGGTAACCCTATGATCTAAAGGCATATAAATATATAAACTCAAAGTCTAATGTTATTAATCAAAGACAAACAATTGGTATAATGAATCAGGCCATTTTTCAACTGCTATTAATAACTAAATTCTAACTAATTTGGTACAAGAGGTAGATATTAGGTGCTATCTCTTATTAAACTTAATAGTTATAATTAAATTAATATTTATTAAATAATCTAGAATATTCTGGAAGAAAAGAATTGGTTCGGAGCAGGACTTGAACGTGCTCTGGGGCTGAAGAGCTGAGGTAGTGCAACTGGCAATGCATCCAAATGGTAAGAGGGAGTTGCAGATTCAAGTCCTGCTCCTAGCCAATTCTTTTCTTTTAGAATATTCTAGATTATTTAATAAATTAATAATAAATAAATATAATAAATTTAATTATAAGTATTAAATTTAATAAGAGATGGCACCTAATGTATACCTCTAGTACCAAGTTACCTAGAATTTAATTATTAATAGTAGCTGAAAACTAACCCAATTCATTATGGTGATTGTTTGGCTTTGATCTAAAGCAGGGCTTCTTAAACTTTTTTTTTATTCATGACCCCATTTATGATTGTGATTTTTTTCGTGGCCCAAAAAAAAATATAAAATAAAGATATATACAAATTTGCAAAAACAATAATGGTGTACTACCACAGTTCACTCTTGTGTTACAATGGAACAGAGACAACTGAATACACTGAATAGCAACAACACTACACTAGTTCACACTACAGTGTTGCTGAATTGTTGTCTCACTGCACCAGAAGTGACACAAAGCTCAACTTACGAAACCTATGACACAAAGCGTGCCATTTTCAAACTCTCACAAATTATTTTCAATATTTTGCATTAAAATCTCGCAACCCCAAATGCGGTCGCGACCATAGTAAGAAGCACTGATCTAAAGGCATATTTTTTATGTCATATTGATAATTTCACCAATTGTGTTTTTCAATATTAGTAAACCATAAACACAGTTTGTCAATACTCTAGAGCAGTGGTCTGCAACCTTTCTGACCTCAAGGACCACTAAACTCACAATTTCGAATCCCTTGGACCACTATCACAAATTTTCTTAAATGATACAAAATCTGTAGAATAATGATCATAAAAGTTCAATTTTACTATATTAATATGAAACTCACTTGTTTAATTATAACATATTAATGCAAGCCTAAAGTCTATTGTTGCTTGTTTGAAATAAGTTTATGGATTCTTAGTGCTTTTCCACGAAGGACAACAATCACACTCACAATATTGTTTGTTGTTCATTATTTATTGATAACAGTCACTTCGTATTTGGTTTTAGATTTGAATAAAAAACTCCCAATGAGTGAAAAAAAGAATTAAGCATTTTGCATTTCTTTCGCAATACAGTAATACCTCGACTTACGCTACCCTGACTTATGCAAACCTGGAGTTACACGATTTTCAAATCTCGTCGATTCGTCTTTTGTTTGAGTGCCATGCAACTCTCGATTACTCACTCCACCCACACTATTGTTCAACTTACATGTTCGGACGTGTCACATGAAATCGACACATAGCTACAATTTATTTTGTGTTATTTATTTCTGTGTTTGTTATATCTACGGAGACTCGAGAGACTCTTTGTGGTGATTTCTTGTAACCGTGAACGAATCAAAAGACGAGATAAGATTAACGAGAACATTTATTAGCTTACATACATCCGACTTGGATTTTACACAATTTGGGAAATTAACCCAGACTTACGCAGTTATTGCTCGGTCCCACCTATCGCGCAAGTTCGGAGTACAGGTATACCTCGCCTTACGTCGGTAATTGGTTCCAGGAGAACGACGTAAGTCGAATTTACTTGTCTCCGAATCTACTTGTCACTAGGCTAAACCATAAATTACCATTTCTGGTTCTGTATTTTATTTATTAATGCATTTTTAATAATATATGGTTAATAAAAATCTATTTTAAGCTTATAAACAAATAAATTTTAGTTTTTAATATAGTACAGAAAAAAGTATTCTAAATTTACGAATGCATGTACTGTAAATACAGAATATACTAGTATATATTTTAACATGATTTTATGTGCTATAAACGTTTTTCTAGTGATATTACGACTTCAATATTTGTGGTGGACAGACGTAAAGTCGAATAAAATGACTTAAACTTGATTTTTATTTTTCCATATACTTTTTTGACAAATGACGTATAATCGGGAATGACGTAACTCGAAACGACGTAAGTCGAGGTATGCCTGTATTACTGTACTTCACGTAATCTTCAGTTGATCAATGTCCAAATTTCTCCATGGACCACAGGTTGCCAACCACTGCTCTGGAGCATAGAACTAACAAAACAAATAATGACAGAAAATCTAAATTTAATTTAAAATTTCATCAAAAACCTCCAGTGGCCTGACGGAATAGGATTATCACAAATCAAAGTACCAAAATGAAACTTCTTGAACAAAAGTTGGCATGTTCATTTTACTATGATATTTCCAAACATATCAAAAATGCTTTTGAACAAGTAGTTGCATTTACATCTCTTTAAATTCATAAGGCATAATCAATCAAAAAAACACTTTATCACCCTGACTTCTCTCTTAACCCTGGGGTAGTGCAGTGGGGTGTTTCGCCACCCCCAACGTTTTAGAAGTTGCACTATTCATAGATTTCGCAAGAAATATTTGTGTCCTCTTCAGTAGCTTCATCATTTTATGTATAGAGCATGCTCAAAAATTACTACGATGCTGCAGAAATTCCAATAAAAGAAAAACAACAGTTCTCAGTGGGGTGTCCAAACACCCCACAGTATTAATTACGTTTTTTTTTAAATTTTACAAATATTTATTTAGTTTTTTTTATTTTTCAAATAACTATAATGTGATCACATTTATTATTTATAATATAGATATAATAATCAATGTGAATAAAAATAATTTAAGTTTATTTTAATTCAAAATGGCTGACTTTCATAAACACTTTGAGAAAATACCAAACATAGCAAGTTGCTTGTCATTTGCAATGAGTGCCAAAGTACAATGTCAGCTATTGAATCAGAGTGACAAAAATGCTTAAAAAACAATTTAGATTTTTACTATTGGTTTAATAATAAGATCTAATGTAATGAGTTTTGATAAATGCTGTTTTTTATTTTCATGGATTTATGTACAAATATAATATGTAATCATACCTGAATATAATCATATGTATAATGACACATGCCTTTACCAAATGAATGAGTAAATCTTTATGAATTTTTACTTACATGGTTTATGGACCCAAAAAAATGTTGGGGTGGACAAGCGCCCCACTGCACTAATGCTGAAAAAAAACTCAGTGCACTAACGCAGGGTTAAAGAATTAGTTCTGTAGTGTTGAATTTTTACTAGATACATTTGCATTTTCTAGATCGTTTTAAAGTTCAAATAATTTTTTCCTTATATTGGCAATCATCATAGTATAAATTTATAAGAAATAATTTTGTCTAACTCCAGCTTTTAATCTGAACTTTGAAAAAGAAATTACTTTTCCATCAGTCCAATATATTCATAAAAAGTCAAATCTAAAATATAAGCTTTTTATTTGTAGAAGCTGTAGTAAATAAGACTCTTAACAAATGTATAGATCTTCAAATAGACTATCATAAGGATGCTATCAAATTAGATTAAACCAAATGTGAGGAACCAGACAAAGTTTACAAATATGTAATATAATAAATAACAAATAATATAAAATAAGAATAAAGAGGTTCAGAGGTTCATTTGTTATAAGAATAAAAATATTTTCATTAAGTTTAATGTTCATTTGATTGGGACGCATTATCAAAAATTAATTTTATCTTTGTCATTTATCATGTTATAAACTAGGAAGTAAAAATCTTGTAACTGATATGATCAATAATAATAATAATAATAAAATGAAAAATCTCATTTAAATATATTTAAATTAATCTAAAAGAAAATTTCTAATTAAAGAAATATGAAAATAATATAGATCTTGCAAAAACTAAAATCATATATATTATTGATTACATAAGATTTGACTTTAAACATAATTTAGATTTATATAATTTTAATTATATTAGAGTAATATATATTGAAATTAATATATATACTTAAGGAAAAATAATAATTCATGAAAATCTAACAATTTTATACAGAAAAGTCAAGAGATATTTTTATGTGTATAAAATTAGTAGTATATGATGTTTATGGACTTGATTATAGAACATTATTTCACTTTTGAATAATTATTTCACTTTTTTCGCACTTGAATAAATTGAAAGCAGTTATATATAAGTTTATTATTGTATGATTATAAGTTTTGTATATTGTTATTTCAATTTATTAACAATACAAACAAATGAAATACAAAAAATGAACTGTTTTATTTTGAGAAATTTTACACATACATGTTCAGAACCAAGTGCTTTTGAAACTGTGCCCAATCTTCATGAAAATTGGGCACAGCTTCAAAATTTAAAGATGATAATAATAGAAATATTATTTTTATTATGTTTTTTGATATTGTATAAATAAATTTGTCTAACCACGTCCAAACAACTGTTTTGTAATTTATTGCTCTCTTAGATAAATTCTAAACTATTAAATCGGTAATATTTTTTGTAAATTCAGATCTTAGAATTATGATAAGCAATGATTGTATATTGCTATGTATTTAGGTATTTTCAGATGTTAAAACTCAAGGACTTGAGTTTCCAGGTTTGACAGACATGAAGAAAGAATTATATGTGGAATATAAAGCTAAATTGAAAAATTTAGTAGACACATTAATGAAGCTTGAAATGGATGTAATTGAACAAGTTGAAGTATGACATAAATTTTCTGAAATTTCTAATTACTTTTATGAATAAAATAGGTTTTAAATTTTTTCCTTTTGAGAAATTTATATGATTTGAACAATTAAAATGTTATAAATTTTCTTTTACAGGAATTTAATAGAATATTTAAATATGCAATTAGTGAGATTATAAATAAATACATACAAAGAATACAAAAACTTCAGACTATTCTGAGAGACTATGAACAACAATTTTCTGAACAGTTTGAAGAATTTTGCAGAACATGTATAGAGCATTTTGATAAACAACGCTTAGTAAATGTCGAAGAAGATATGGAAATTGTAAGTTTTTAATCTAATAATATTGACCACTATAAGGCATATATTAAAAATTTTTTAATATAAATTCATTTCACATGTGTGATATTCGTAGATGAAAATAATTAAATTAAAATAAATGCTATAAGTTTAGTCAGTTATTGGATTAATTCATTCATTTTTCTTCTTTAATTTTGTATATTAGGGAATTTATATATGAATTTATACAGCTTAGAAAATCTAAATCTTCAATGGAGTTGTCTTGAAATGGTTAACAAGTAAAGATTATATTGAGTTGAACATTTTTTTTTGCATATTTTTAACAGCGGTCATTACTTAAATGTGTGATTTATGTTAACTATAACAGTTGTGAAATTTAACACATTATGCTAATGTGAGATTGTATTATTTCTTCAGAAGTTTATTTTAAACAAAACATGAAGTAAGAAATATCTTCAAATATAAGCATAATATGCCTGATATACTTTTTGAGTTTCAGAAAGGAAATAATGCTGTACAAACAGTAAAAAAAAATTAAATTTACAGAAAAATATATATTTCTTTAGACTATACATACAAAGATGAGTCAAAATTCCTTCAGTCCTTTAATAATAAGTAATGCATATGGGAAGAGGCTCCTAAACTACAAACATGTCAAATATGGTTTAAAAGTTCTGTTTAGGAAATTTTGAATTATAGGATACAAAATATACAAAAGCTGTCAACAAAGAAAACTTGCAGGAAGAAATTGTTAAAAATCAACAAATAACACAATATATGTACCCAAATACACCAAAAATAAAGTGAAAAAACCACTGAAAACGTGAGTATAACACTAGAGTGAGGGAACTTGGGCACACAAGATTGAAAAAAATATGCTTGAAGCATAAATGCACTGTGCACACAATTCAAACTCCAAAATGAATTTTTGTCAAATGTAGTGCTTGAACTCTGAAGCATTCAAAATACGATGTACCACTGTACAAAATAATATTCTGTTAACACCCAGGTGTTTCAAATTATATAAAATATTTTTTTTAAATATAAAAATATATTAAAGCAATGGGATCGGTTATTATAAATCTTTAAAATTTCTTAAAACTAACGAGTTAAAATTACTCTTTTTTGTCCGACTTCGAAGGAACTCAAAACACAGAAATGGAAAACTGAAGTTAATAATTACTTCTTACTTTATTCTAACTTTTTATCACCATATGCATTTTGCCTTTCCAGCCTCATCAGTGGTGGTCCACTGATGAGGCTGGAAAGTAATTTTAACTCGTTAGTTTTAAGAAATTTTAAAGAATTTTTTAGACTTTTTATTTTAAAGATTTTTTTTAAAATTTTATGCTGGTTTTATATAATTATAAATTTAATATTTAATTCCGAAATTATCTTTAAACATAAACTAGAATTATTTTATGAAAAGATTTTTATTGTTTATTTAACATTTAATTAACTCTCTTATTCAGTTTCTGATTAGTCCACAAAAACTACAGTCTCTAGCCAGAGAATGCCATGACCGACGATTGACAATCATTAACAAAAGAGAAAAAATCACTATTGAAAGATTGAGAGATTGGCTAAATGATATTACATCAAGAATTTATTCAGAAGAAATAGACAGAAATAGGAAAAGAATAAATGAAATTATTTGTTTTAAAGATTATTATGAAAAAGAAGGATATTCATTCTTATTTATTGGGGATGAAGAGACAGATTATGACGATGACGAAAAGTCGTCATCATCAAGTGTGAATGGTAATTAAGTTGTCTTATATATAACCTTAAGACTTTAAATGAATGGATATTTAATTTTAATGTTATAAATTCACATTGTTTTATCTGAATTTACATTCAAGTATGTTATAAATTACTTCTGTAATTTATATTTTTCATTAAATTAAAAGTTTGAAAAAATTATGATTGTTTATTGCATACTTTTTAAGTTTAAATTTATAATAATGTCTGAAAAAAAATCAAAATGATGGGCCAATATATAAATAATAATGAATTTTTTTTGGACAGTCTAGTATATAAAATTAGCAATGGTCAATTAAGATGAATATTTGCAATCTTTTTTTGAACAGACAAACATAATATATCAAATATTGATACTATTAGTCTGAAGAAAAAGGTGGGAAACCGGTTCAGGAACAATTCATAAACTTCAACTAAAAACATAACCATATAAAATAAAAATATTAACAGCTGTTATGTATACATAACAAGGGAAGTATTGGAATTATTTAAAAAAAAATGAAGGGTTAAATTTGACAATCTCCATGTTCGAGACCACCTGAACCCAAAATAATTAAAACAAAAAAAGTTCCTTGAATATGTTACTATCTCAGGATGGGGTAATGACAAAGAAACAAAATTTGGCACAGTAGCTTATGCATAAGAAGCATCAATGATATTCAGTATTAACTTTTGGTGGTTAAACATCAAGGGAATGGGGAGATAGAGGGATGTCATGTGTCATATCTTGAGCAAGGTCAGACTTGATGATTTTACTCATTATTGGCATTTATAAAACCCTTATCCTGAAAATTAAGCTTTTTGACATTTTATAAGAATTAAAATGAATAAGATTTTGTTATAAGTACTTTTTATAACAGATGTGGCACCATAAACAAATTATATTTATTATGATTAATAATATAAATGTTATTTTTAAAATAGAATTTTATAAACAGCCAGGAAAGTTATGCAACTCATTGCTACATTTTTTTTTTGACATACTGTATATATGGTGTGAAATGTTATCATCTCTACTTTTAAATTAATGTGAAATCTATAAACCATCATTCCAATTACACTTTATTATCTAAAAATTTAATCTATACAATTCCATATTTTTATCTACACTGAAAATTTATTTCTTTTTTCATAACTGTTTAAGTATTGAAGAAGTCAATGATTTTTCTCCCATTCTTCTTTTTCTTTTATTTCCTTCTTTATATCATCTATATAAGGCTGAAGATAAGGAATATCCTAAAAAGTGGTTCAAAATATAAATTAGATATATGCTGGAATAAAATAATTTGTAATTTAATGTTTTATCATTTCTAGATTTCAAATTTAACATTTTATATAAATAAACTGAAAACACAGATCTAAAAAATATTTTAAAAGAATTACATACAAAATCATATCAGACAATTAGTGGCAAATATTAATATTGTGGTATAAAAATCACACATTATTTGCATAAAGACGACATAATACTTTGATCATGTTTTATAAATCTGAATGTACAGATTGTAATAGAGACAAAATATGAAAAAAGTGAATTCAGTAATCACTAGTGGGTTATTTAATGGCAACTATGCTATTGAATAGTCCACTACTGATTACCTATATTCTTATATACTAGCTTCTGTTATGAACTAGCTACATACAAGATAAAGCCCGATGCAATGTTTTTGCCTATATCGTGTATACATTAAAACTTTCACATATTCACTACTTATCAATACATGTATACTGTATCTCATACAATACAATTTGAAATTTCTGAAATTCAGCATGACTCAGTGTGCTTCTGTTGATTTATCATTGCATCCCTGAACTACATTTTTCAAATTTTTAACTCCTAGTTCACATGCTATTATGATATCATAAACCAGGCCTTGGCAACCTGTGACCCATTTCATAATTTCAAGTGACCCACTTGAGTTCCGAAAAATAAATTATAATATATATAAAAAATAAATTATGAAACAAACACTTGAAGAATACATAAAAAAATAAATAACATTTTTGTTTGATTACAAAGTTGCAGTAACAAACATACAAATTTTATATATTAAAAATAAAAATGCAACATAATTTCAAAGAGAAATCAATAAATTTTGGAAACAAAATAAATTGGTGAAGAGTTTTGTTATCAGCCACAATCACGCTACATCTGCCAGCTTTGTTGCAGCTCATAGCATTGGTACCACAGAAAGCCGTTTACAGATGGTAAATTTTTGAAAAACGCATTCATAAATTGTTCCGAACACTTATTTAATGACTTCACAAATAAAAAACAAATCATTGAGAGAATTAAAGAAATGCCATTGTCAGATAGAAACAGTTCAGTATTGCATTGAAGTCATGGCTGAAAATGTTGATGAACAGGTCAAAGTACCAATGTAAATAATATGGCTAGGCTTGCAATTGTTATTAGATATGCATCAATAAATAGTTCAAAAGTCAATGAAGAACTTTGCGGTCTTTCTTCTATGAATGACACGACCAAAAGGAATTGACATTTTTTGTCAAGTACAAGAGTTTACTAATTTCAAAAATGGGCATGTACAGTACCATGTATTGAATTTAAAAATTAAATTGTTTTCTGTAACAACTGATGGTGCTCCAGCTATGAGAGGAAAAACTGTCAGATTTGTGAAACTAATGGAAAATGAACTTGGCTGCTCACTTTTATCGTTTCATTGTATCATACATGAAGAAAATTTATTTGCAAAGGCATCTATGCAACAACTTAACAACCTTTTCTGTTACATCTTTAAGATCATAAACATGATAGTAGTATGATCAGAATTAGTACACAGGCACTTCAAAGCTTTTTTGACAGAAATTGAATTGAAATATGGAGATTTGCTGTTACATTTGGAAATATGATGGTTAAGTCGAGGCACAGTTCTTAATAGATTTGTAATGTTTTGATGAGATACAAATATTTCTTTACAAAATTAGTGAACATGATCTCGGACTCAACGATAAAGAATGGTTTTTAAAACTTGTTCTTAACAGATATAATGAATAGTGTTGCAGCAAATAGTATATTCGGCCTCAGGCTGAATACCAAATATTAGGCCAGGAGCGTGGCCGAATATTTGGCCAAACTATTCGACTTGATTAACGCACGTACAAAAATTGGCTTACAAACCACATTATGGCAAGGACCCCACTCTCACTACGCTTCGCCAATCGCGTTAATTCTTGACAGTTGTAATGGACAGACAAGAGCATCATGGCAGTATGTGATAAAATGATGATATCAAATGTGGATAACAACAAAATGATCTACACGTGTAAATAACGGAAAAAGAACAGAGAAGGACCGCAAAGTGAAAATGTGAAAATAAATATGAAATTGAGTTAACATAATCGAACAAGTCGAGTCAGGTTATTGGCGCAAAATTCGCGGCCATCAATGCCAAACAATTGTTGTCATAGACTTCGGAAAGCTAAATGCTTGTAATGAAAGTCACTTAGAGTGCACGGGCGAAAGCCTGGGGCTCGTTCGGGCTACCAAGCTGTCTCAAATCTGTGAAATCATAACTGTGACTTATACCGACATCCTATCTGTCTCTTTTCTCTGTTATCACCAGGCTATTAGTCACGTAATTGTAAAATGGGAAATCTATGATGGAAAGTGACAAATTGAAAGTATCGTGAGTGCATATTATGATGTATGCATAGGCATATGTGGACTAGAGCGATAGAGGAAAGGGAAAGGGAAGAGCAAAGACGAGCGCTTAAAAAGAAGGATAGGCAGGGTCAAACCCTCGGATGTGCAACGATTCTCGAACAAATAGGTGTGTATGTGTACTGATCTTTGTAATTATAAATTGTCAATACATGTGACTAATATTATTTTCTTTTTTATTTTGTGCATGTTATAAGTTATAAATAAATATAAACAAACAACACTAACCTGATAACATTAAATCTAAATACCAAAATGATTAATTTACTGTGTTTTTGTTATTTCTTACTCCTGTTTTAGGTATTCGGCCGAATAGCGAAAAATAGGCTGAATACCAAAAAGTAACCGAATATTCGTTACATCACTAATAATGAACCATTATAATGATTTCAACCTATAACTCCAAGGAAATAACCACACAATTTTAGAAATGTACGAGGAATGGAAGAGTTTTTCTTCAAAATTAATATTACTTGAAACAGACATAAAAAAATAAAGAATTTCATTTCTTTCCCTTGTTAAAAAGGCAGCATGAAAAAGAAAATATTGACGAGAGCAATCTTAATATGTTCGAAAGTTGGATTTTGTGCACTAAAAGTGAATTTGAAAGTCGATTTCAAATTTTTAAGAAACACAGCAAAATGTTTACTTTTATAATAAAGCCCGACGAAATAGAAGAAAATGTTTTAGATTTGCAGCATTTTCAATATCTTAAAGTTGACAATTTTAGTTTAGAAATGATTGATTTTAAAAGTTCAGCATTATGGATGGATAAATTGCAGAAAGATTTGGAAAAATCAGAAGATTATGATCTTTTTATAATATCAATGTGTTAGGCATCACTTCCTATAAAGTTTTCGTTTCTGAAAAAATTGGCTTTGCCATTTTGTTTGCATTCAGTTCAACTTATAAATGTGAGCAAATACTTTCATACAAAATTTATTTTAAGAACAGGTGCAGCTTAACTACTGAAATTTCAGATGCTTGTATTTGACTTAAGACAACTAACTATAAGCCAGACTTGACTAAATTGACGTCACAAGTTCAGGGGAGTCATTGATATCGAAGAGTAAAATAAAGTTCATTCAGTTATGTTTGTTTTTATAATAATTAGAATTATAATTATAATTTTTATTTTTAAAGCATATTGTAATTATTTTCTCAATAAAATTTATCTTATTATTCACCAAAAAAGACTGTTTTAAAATGAAAATACCACTGATCTAAAATGTCTTCTTAATACACACATTTTGGTTGATTTTGACCCACAGCCAAAAAAGGTTGCTGACCCCTGGCATAAATCTTATTGTGGGTAAAACTTGAAAAAAGAATTTGAAAAATTCAATGCATGACAAGTGTCTTTGACTATCAAATATTTAAGTATTATTGCAACTACTATCAGGGCAGCTGTGCCTACAGCTAGAGCAGACTGTTCTTCAGGGCAGTAATTGTCCCTGTACATTGTACACTCTACAGTCAACAATTCAGACATTTTCAATAAATTTCTTGACTTTATTTCAAAGCAAGCCTTAGAAATTCAATTGCAAAGGGCTTCATAAACAATGGTTTAAGGGTATTCTTTGTAAGGCTATATATCATTGTAGTTGGGCTCATGTTTTCTGGTATGGCCCTTTTCATTATTAATATTTTACATGTGGTTACTGCATATTTCAATTTCCTCATCACTGTTATTAGGCATCTATTATCTGTCATTGTAGGTTTAAATGTTACATATGGATCTTCATAACTCTGTACTGTGGCCAAGTGCAGAGTTTATAATTATGTGAGGCTCTGGACAGGTCTGAACCCTCACTAAAATTTGCATTAAAATAAGTTATTTTTAAAGAAAAATACAGTAGTTAGAAATAGATTTTTTATACGAAAATGCGACACTAATTTTTAAACATTAGAAGAACGTAAGTCCGTCGACCATCTCCGGTTGGAGATCGAATTAAACGTCGATTTTGACCTCTCCCGCACCCCGAAAGGTTTTGAATTGTCATCAGGTGACAAGGAGAGACCAATTGGAAAGTGGAATCGGAAGAAAACGGATAAAACCCCGGACATTATAGGACATGACAGCTTCTTCTCCCGAAAGTTCCAAGCGATGGATCTATTATTGTGTGTGTGTCTCGCGCTCATCTTCGTCTCTATCTCCCGACCTCCGATCGACATCTTTCCATCAACGGAAGTTGGCCGCATCGTCCCAGAATCGTCAATGGAATTGTTCATTCGCAAACAAGGGACACTCCTTCAAAATGGGACTATCTTGAAAAGGAGAGGAAGGCCCAGAGGCCACAGCTGACGTAGAACTTCAAGATCGCAGAAATCTTGTAAACTTCTTTCGTGTTTAATAAACGGGTTGTGTTGTTGTAAACAAGGCATCTATCTCTGACTCAACTGCTTCCACATGTTGTTGATTGTTACCGCTCGGCAGTCCAAATGGCAAGGGAGATGATGATGATGATATATATCACATATTATTGTTAATTACACGTTTTTTAAAAATTTCTCCCCCCTTGGCCCCACAATTATTGTCAGGTTCACATGTTAATCGTTCTGTAATATTCTTCACTGTCAGTCATACTAGTGTTTGTGTCATTGGTCTATGTATTCAATGTTATTTGTTTTGTTACATTCATGTTGCTTTTTTTTGTTATCAGGAGCATAATGTACAAATTATCAGGAATTCTAATGTACTATCATGCAAGCTACTATTTGTAATTCTGTGTTATATGGCTGCTTTCCATTTTCATTTATTGTCAGTTTAATCTACAAAGTACTAACCACTTCCAATGTATGTTACTACATTTTTGTCAGTAGTGTACTGTATTTTTGTGTTGTCAATAAATGTGATGCAGGTGCTTATGCTCTCTCCCACCTTCATCATCTATCCTGTCATCTTTCATCTTTTTCTCTTACTTTCCTCTTACTGCTCTATTCACTTCAGACACTACCATTGAGTGGCTCAGAGTTTTTTTCCTCTTCCTACTATGTATGTATGTATGGCTGGCTTCTAGCCAAGATTGTATAATTATCAAGTGCATTCATTTTTCTCTTTGTCAAAAGGAAAATTTCCAAAAGAACATGTTTTCTATTTTCCCTTGGAAGTGTTTCTTTGTTTAAGAAGATTGGTTAATCAATCTTCATACATTGAGTTTTTGATGTTTCAACATACATTAATTAGTTCTATATTTTTTCTTTAAAATGAAATTTATTAGTTGCAAAACTGATCAAAGACTTTTGGCTTACTTCTTAACATTATACATTTTATGAAATTATTTGGGATATTTCATATATGAAATTGTATCATTATATTATATAAATATTCATCCCATCTAAAAATATACTATGAGATATTTTTTTTTAAATTTCATCTATTAATTTTGAAAATGTATTAAAATTTTATATACTACTGATATGTAAACACAGTTTAAGTTCATTAATCTGATGTGATAATCTGGAAAGTCCAGTAATCTGTTACCCACTGAAAAGTAGCTGATAATTTATAATTATCCATTAATAATCCAACGTGATATATTATTATTCCACAAATCAGAATTTTTTTTTGACANATAATTTTTGACAAATTCCCTGACTTTCCCTGACTTTTTCAAAAAATAATGAAAATCCCTGACTTTCCCTGATTTTCCCTGACTTTCCAGGTGCGTAGGAACCCTGTATACAGTAAAACCTGTTTATGGCAACCACCCACAGTTCCTTCAAAAGTGGTCTTTTAGATAGGTGGTGTTATAATACCGTATTTCTGTACTTTGCACACTTTTTAGTCAATTCTACTAAACAAAACTTGAGGCGAGAAAAAAAATAAGCGAAGTTTTTCAACGATAGAGCTATATTGATATTGTATTTTATTCTTATCAACCTACCTTATTTCCACGATATTTTTAAAAAAATAATACAATGACAATCGCAGAATCAAAAAAGGAAGGTTGCCTGTAAAACTGATTTTTGCATTAATGCATTTATTGTTTTTTGAATATTTTACATGCAAAAATTACTTGGATATTATTTTTCTAAAAATATCATGGAAATAAGGTAGGTTGATACAAACTATTTATCGCACTTGTACTATATATGAGCATCAAAAATAAATAAATAAATATATTTGATCAAACGATGCGATCAGCCGATTAATTGTACCATGTACAACAGTTTATACCCCTAAGGAAAATACTGTAGGTCTACGGTAAAATAAATTTCATTTTCCCACAGTTAAACTTCGCTGCTAATTGCCATTGTGATAAACCATTTTGACTTTCTCTGAAAACTTTAACATGATCTTCTAACAACAACACATTGCATTTCTTTCATTTTTCGGACAATTTCAAACAAACTGAAATGAATTTCCTTTGTTGCTAGACTAATTCATTAACACCTACACCTAATTTAAAGGGTGGGAGAAGTGCCCGAAGTGGGTTCGAATAAGAGTTTAGACTAATTCATTATATTAGGAGGGAGAAACATTGTTGAGATGGGTTCAAACAATAGTTTAGACCAGATATATTTGCGGAAGTGGTTGCTTATTACAGTTGTCGTATGTTGTTTTGGACCAAAAATCAATGCCCGCAGTTGCGTTACATAGATAGTCGTTTAATACGGGTAACTTAAATGAAGACTATATATAAACTATTCCATGCTAGAAATTTTTGCCCGTTTTGACAGGTGCCCGTCGAATGCAGATGGTCATCTAAGCAGTTTTCACTGTATATGAATCAATGAATCATTGTGAATGTTGATTTTGTGTAATGTGTTCATTAATGTTTTTTCAGGATTTTCAATCTTAACACAGTATAGTCATGCACTGTATCATATTCAGTGCATAAACAAATCAAACATACAGTAACATGTGCTGGTACAAATGTACAGCAATGTCTGCAAAATTCAGATCACACATAACAATGTAATTTTGTGAAAATATAAAAAAACATCAAGTAATCTGGTATTTTTAATAATCAGCTCCATTCTGAGCCTATATGCCAAATGAATAAGCTTCTACTGTGCACGCAAACAACATGTTACTTTATGGTGCCCATTAATAAGTTTTTTACTATTTATCTATTGTTAGTTTAACAATAATAATTTTCTTGTTTCACTTACTTCTTCAAACTTAGTCCATTGTTCCTTAGGTAATATACGATGCATTAAACTATACTGCATTGCTCTGATAATACGGTAAGAACGTTCATGGTATTCTTTAGCCGGGAGACGTCTAACAGCTTCTTTTACTACAGGTGTTTCATCCAAAAGGTCATCATATCTCAGTCCTAAAAACCAGCCAGTATTTAGAATATTGATTTTCAAATTTTCAAAAGTCAGTATATTTTGGAATTATTATAAATATATTATTAGTTAAATAACTTTAAAAATATCATATTACAAATACAGGAAACCCAGTTAACCCAGAATGGTCGGGGGATTCACACCTTGAGTTAAAAAGTTTTGAGTTTCAGAGGTTTGGCGAAAAATCAAGATTTTGTGCTTTGTTTTATTTGTGAACCATAATAATTTCCACAAGTCTTATCACATGGAATCATTATGTCAATGTAAGCCTCTTGGTGTTATCCAGAAACTCAAAAACACTTAACCGAATGATTAAATAAGCTACTGAGAAACACTTTCCCAAATGGTTGATCCATTCACTCCTAAGTGTTTAGTAAGGTCATTTTAATTGCAATCGATCTGGTTTTTTATTTTTTAACACACAAAATAAAATACATTTAATTTTTAATTAAATGTATTTTATTTTAAAAATTAAATGTATTTTATTTTATTTTCACCCTATTGGTACTAACAGGGTCTTTTTTGTCTCTTTTAGCAATCCCATTACAGGTTTAGCTAGACCCACAATGCAGTTGCAGGGTAGTAAGGGATGGGACCCAACATGTCTAGATGGACCACCCTGAAAAATTCCTAGAGTTCTTCAATCCGTCCAGATTTGATCCCAGGTCCCCAGAGCAATAGGCTACTGACTTGGCCACTTAGCTATTACAGTAATTATATTAAATAAAAATTTGAATAAATGTAAACCTACCAAACTGTCGCCATCCATTTATGTTAAATAATAGCCGTTTGATTGCTTGGCTTCCTAGAAAAATAAAAGATTGAATTAACTTCAATTAATTCATATAGTAATTTAAATAAGTTTCATTTGTGCAAGTAAAAATATGGGACCTTAGAACTGTAGACCATGCCCATAAGAGCAAGTTTATGGAACCATCTCATCGGTTCTTTTCACTGTTTTACACGTCTAGGAGTCCAATATTTGGGGAGGGGTCCAAACACCTACAATCTTACATTATAAACCACCCATTGCGTTATTAACTCGTGTATAATTTCTCATAATTGAAATTTATGCAACTAACAGATTAACAGGTGCATTTATTTCGAATACTTAACACTATAATAACAAAACTAAAATCTATATTTTCAAAACTTTGCAAAAAAATATTTACTTACCGGAAGCCATATTGAAGTCCTATTCTGTTCGGAGTGCGTGTTGCCAATCTCGACAAATTTTATTTTTTATTATAACACCTCATTCTCGTATTTTTATTAATTATATTATTTACATATTATTGATATATTTAAAAAATAATAATATTTTATATTCAAAATAATATATACTGAAATTATAAAAAGTTATATATAATCTTTTATAATCAGTTTTTTGTAGTCAGAGAATACTGTATACGTACATATTTTTTAAATTTCAACTTTTTCCATTCTGCAGATACTAAAAGAGCTTTTTTCAGAATTATCACGATGGAAGCGGCCGAGTTTTTTTTTTAAACTCTTTCTGCCCTGTGGGCACTAAGAAGGCCTCTTTTTCACAAAGCCCACTAGTGGCCGAGCGGTCTTCGTACCCTGAACACTGGGAGTTCGGTCGTGGGTTCGCGCCTTGCTCGGACGCGCTGGCCACGTGGAGTCTTCCGGGTTTTCTCCACATCTGTAACGCCTAAATAGGGGCCAGTTCCTTTAAAAAGACCTCCCTGAAGGCATCCCCCTAGGCAGATCGCCAAGTGTTGCGTTGCCATAACTTAACAAACAAACTTTTCGCAAGCCCATTATGGGTTCGGCCAGGCCCAGAATGGGGTGGCCGAGTGATGAGGAACGGGGCCCGACATATTCGAAAGAACCACACCCCGAAAAATTTCTGGGGATTTAACGATCCGTTCGAATTCAAACCCGGGTCCCCCAGAGTGGCAAACTGCCACCTTAACCGCTCGGCCATCCGGCCGTCGGAAGCAGCCGAGTAGTGAGAGATATAGCTAATAAATCTGGATGAAAATCTCTAGCTGATCCGAACTCGAAACGGGATTCTCCAGAATGGAAAACTGATATCTTCCTGGCTATTTAACTATCTTCAGTTTGTTTCGCTGAATGGCCGAGGAAGTAATTATCCTAGAGCTTTGTAGAAAGTTTCGGGTTTGGATTAGATCGGGAATTTTTATCAATAGTATGAATTCAAAATGTCGAGCTCCGTTCCTTAATTAATACCTAGCCGAATCCATATGGAAAAAAGCCCTTTTAGTGTACACAGAGCCGGCCGGATGGTCGAGTGGTTAAGGTGCCATCCTACCGCTGTGAGGAATCTGCGAACGAATTCGGACGAATCGAAAAATAACTGGAATTTTTCGGAGGGTTGGAGTTTTTTCGACCTCAGACGTTTGTTTTTCCGATTTATCATCATGGTGACATTGCTTCATCTAAAACTTTCCGTAGTTGTAGTCTGTGTAATGGCACTTTCTTTACAGTTGAGTCTTACGGTTAAAATTTAAAAAATAATTCTGTTTTGTTCTGTCACATTTTGAAGCTTACCACGTAGCTGTTGTCGAAAATTTTTGAAATTTTGCAGGGTAGTTTGTGTATTAGAGGATTGACGTTATTAAATTTTGGTGGTTAAGGATATGGAAGGGTCGCGTGTAATATTTCGAATGAAGTCGGACTTAACATTTCATTCATTAGCATTTACGGTTTTTTTATAAAACACATCCCTATCACCAAAATTAAGCTTTGCCATTTTATAATATGAAAAGATTTTAAAATATATTATTAACAGATGGCGCCACACACAATTTAATATTCTTTTGCCGGGAAAGTTAAAAAAAACCCAGTAACCAGTTGCATAAGCTTCAGTGCTTCTCACAGTACTCTTCCCCCTTTCCAACCAGACTTTCTGTGAAAAAGTCTGGTTGAAAAACAATTCCTAAAATAGTCTCTTCTTTCCCAGTACTACAGACGTCTGTACCAAGGCAGGCTTACAAAGAAAAGTTGAAATAGGCAATTACTGAAAGTTAAATACAGTAGAGCGTCGTTTATCCGAATCAATTGGGGACTGGGGTTGTTCGGATAACTTATTTTTCGGATAACCGATTATGTACGAAAAAATGTATTAACCTATCCCGTGTTGAAATTTTTCTCCGTTGCGTGTCGCGTTAAATTTTCGTCGATGTTAAGCCTAACGTAAACTTTTTAAAATAATAATCGTGGCTATTGTATCGTTAAAAATGATTTCTTTATGTTTTAAAAACGAAATAAATACATTTAAAAATATAAAAACAAATAAAAATTATACTTTAGGCCGACTGGAATTCTTTCGGATACAGTAGAGCGACGTTTCGGATAAACGACGCTCTATTGTATTTATAAACAAACTTTGAATTTAAAGAAAAAAGTGAACTTAGATCAAACTTCTAACTTAGAAGGTGATTTTCGTTTTTTTAAATAAAACAATAAAAAATTTACAATATTTTGTAAGATTTTAAAAAGCAAAGACGGTCAATACTCCGATTACTCAATCTGGTTCTTATTTTAGTAATGAAAAGTCGCGCTACCGAGAATGCCCTTTCCCATTCAATTAATGCGGGTAGAATCGTTTTTAATTAATGCATTTAAATAAAGATGGGTGTTGTTTTTTCACCCGTAGCCTGAAAGATTTCTAGTTCGTTTTCGATATGCGTTGCAGTACTTTTGCTCTATAGCAGCGTTTCTCAAAGTGGGCGATAACGCCCCCTTGTGGGCGCTGGAGGCTTTCAGGGGGCGTTAAGGAAATATAGAGGGGCGACGGCAGACAAATTCTATATATAAAAATTCGACAGAATATACATAAAATGTTGACATTTTATATATATTTTATTTTTTATTGAAGGTCACAACTTGAATATTTCTAACACATTGACTTTTATTTTAGCTCAGCGTTTCTCAAAGTAAGCAATAACGCCCCCTTCTGGCGCGATGAATAGATCTATGATAGAGGCAGGGTATTGAACGGTGACCAAAGGCAAAATTGGGGCTGATAAGAGGAAACATTGCGTTTAATGGTTTCCAGATGATGAGAACAATGTACAGTAAGGGCACAAAGTGTGAGATTCATAGAAAAGTTTTCCTAAGAATATTTCCAATCCTTTTCTCACACAAGAGAAAATGGGTTAGGGGGCGTTGGGTATAACTTTATGGAACAAAGGGGGCAGTGGATCGAAAAAGTTTGAGAATCACTGCTCTATAGTATTCTTGATTTGTCTACTTTAATAGAAACATCAAGCTTATAGCCCAATAATTCTGCAGTTCGTTTGTCTTTAAATAATCAGGTTTATGAAGAAAAACTTCATACTCGTTTGTATCCTTGCCCAATTTGCACAATCTGGCATAATGTAATTATTGAAGCTACCGGGCACGGTTAAAAATTAAAACAGTATCGGAGCAATTATTCAACATATTACAGTTTCTGACAAGTAAAGAATTTTCAGTCTTACCACAAATTGTCAATAATCATTATGTAGCCTATCTGTGACGTGCCATCACAAGCAAAAATTTAAAAAAACTAATAAACCAGGTTTAAAATTAATAAATAGAAAATGTATTCCGACAGTTTATGAGTTAATTATACTTTTATTTGCAAAATTTCCTCAACATTAACACAAAATAAGAAAAAAGTGAACTTTAAGAAATTTGCGGGATTTCCCGGATGAAACGAATATCCCGGGATATTTTCCGGGTTAAAAAACAGCCGGAATCCCGTTAGAGAAACCCTAGCGGCTCCGCACCTGGGTGAAAAACCCAGGAAAAGCCGCCGCCGTTTTATCATATGTAAAATTTTGATTACTAATATTAATAGTACTCAGAAAAGTTAAATTATGTAAATATAAAAGTAAACAATTATGAAAAAAAAAATGCTATGCAGTGGTTAAAACTAAGAGCGGCGATATATTTTTTTCTTTTTTGCTCCTACGAACGACCTTGTAATCAGATTTTTTCTTGCAGATCAAACTTCTGTGCTGCATAGAAGCATATTATATTTGATTTATGAGAGAGGGGAATTTATCGATTTCATACAATAAATCTATTTCCATCCACACTAGACCAAAGACATTTTTATAAATATGTAAAAAGATATGCAAATTCATAAATAGGCCTACAAGTGCTATCAATCTTTCTTCCATAAATTCAAAGATTTAAATTTTAAATTGAACGCTCCTATTATTCGGGACGAGAACTTTGCATCCTGTAAATCGAATCCTATGAAATCAGTCTAGGTAGGCCAAAGCCATACTTTACCTATATTCCATAGGTCTAAATAAATTCTAATCACTTTCTTATCCTGATAACATTAAGCCGGTAAATGAATAAGACTACAAATAGTCGATGAAACCAGAATTTCCACTAATATCAAAAAAGACATGTTAAAAAATCAACTTTAATAACGTTATAATTAAAGAAAAAAAAACCAAAAAGATTACTCATTTCACACTGTGGGCACAAAGAGGGCCTTTTTTCATGCCCATTATGGGTTCATAACGATCGGACGTTGGGGACGGGACCAGACTACAAAAAAATGTGTGTATATTCCAGTGTGTTATAACTATAAATGTGTTATAATAAAACATGCAAAAACTTTTCCTGTATTGAATATATTTGTTTATATATTGATATTTTTAAAGCAAAAAACTTTAATTTCCTGCTTGTTGTTAATTAGGACAAAGACTTATCCTACATCAAATGAATAAGTTCGCGTGTTTATAACATATTTGTCTATCTGTCTTATGATAATTTACATTAAGACAAAACGGTGTTCGTTTAAGACTTACTGTATGAAAAGGTATACTTTTCAGCGTATTTGAACTTTTGGTTAAATAATCAAAAAATGTGAATAACTGTTGGAAAATTGTATGAATAAATAAGGGTAATACTTAAACCTATGTTTGCTTATTACATTTATCTACAAAAGTAATTTTATGCACAAACCTATTCCCAATGCCTGTCTTTAGGATGACAATTGGATGATATAGTCTGTTCCAAAAGTTTAGGTAAAACGGACTTTTTATAAAAAACTTTTAAATAGTGAACTTTCAATCGATTTAATAAAATATAAATGAAATCACAATGCATCATACTAAATGCCATTTAAATGATTAATAACTAATCAAAGTTTTAAATTTAATTGCTTAGAATAATAGAAATTTTGTTAGATTTTGCTGTCCCAAAATTTTAGGTAGTAAATATTTGTTTCTGAGCAAATTACTACACAAATTCATAATGAATAACATCAGTTATGACTTAAAATCTCGTTTTTTGTAAATGGTATTATTTTTTTTAAATTAAAGAAAAAAATAACAAAAATCCACATCACCAAATAAAATCAATTCTCTTCTGAAGAAGTGACTGAGATTTAGAGATTGAAAGCAAGTGGACATTCAATTACTGAAATTTCAAGCAAAGTAAGTTGTTCAGCTTCAGGAATATATAAAGTTTTGGCAAGAAAATTTTATACCTGCAACACGTTCAAGTCGATGTAAGGTATCATCACCCACAGATGAAAGATGTACGAGTATTATTAGACTGGTATCTAGACAAAATTTATCACTTAGTTACACACACTTAAAACTTGTCTTAGATATTTCTAAAAATAGTGTACACAGAATAATACGTAAAAATCCTTATATTAAACTAACAAGGATGTGTATAAATAACCTCCCAAACCTGAACATCTTAAAGCAAGATTGATAAGGGCCAAAAGTTAGATTCAGTGGAAAGATAAATGATTAAGTACACTCTTCGGTGATGAAAAAAAGTGGAACTTCGATGGTTCTGATAGCTGAGAAAAGAGTGTTTTACAGTGGACAAGGTGGTGACTAATAGTATGAGGATTGTATTCAATGGAATTCCAGTCTAGCATTTATTTATGTCGGACTTCAGAACATTATCAAGACACCTTAGATCATCATCATCATCTTCCTATATAGGTGGTCCAAATTGAGCATTTCAACAGACAACGCTCCCATTCATTGTTCGAATTCAACCCAAAATAATGGCTTCAGAATGAAAATATGACTTATGAAATGGCCTACACAATAGTACTGACCTAAACACAATAGAAAACTTATGGGGATGTTCTAAAGATCCAGTATGCAGGTGATCGTCAGTTTTTCAATGTTACTGATCTTAAATGTGTAATTGAGGATTCATGGTAAACTTGAAACCAAATTGTTACAAATTCAATTCTTGTGAATTCAATGCCAAATCGTAAGATGTTATTAAAAATAAATGAAGAACAATTAGCCTTTAAAATTTTTTTGATGTCATTTTTGAAAATTACCTAAACTTCTGGGACAAAATTGTTTAGCAAAATTTCTAATTTTGTAAGAATCTTAACTATTAAATTGTTAAATTTATCTTTTAAAAAGTTATTCAAGAAAAACAAACAATTATTTCATTGTGACGATGTCACAATGCCGGGCTGCAAGTTTTAATCATATTTAATTTAAAATATATGCTCTCCACCTCAAATTAGTNACTAATAGTATGAGGATTGTATTCAATGGAATTCCAGTCTAGCATTTATTTATGTCGGACTTCAGAACATTATCAAGACACCTTAGATCATCATCATCATCTTCCTATATAGGTGGTCCAAATTGAGCATTTCAACAGACAACGCTCCCATTCATTGTTCGAATTCAACCCAAAATAATGGCTTCAGAATGAAAATATGACTTATGAAATGGCCTACACAATAGTACTGACCTAAACACAATAGAAAACTTATGGGGATGTTCTAAAGATCCAGTATGCAGGTGATCGTCAGTTTTTCAATGTTACTGATCTTAAATGTGTAATTGAGGATTCATGGTAAACTTGAAACCAAATTGTTACAAATTCAATTCTTGTGAATTCAATGCCAAATCGTAAGATGTTATTAAAAATAAATGAAGAACAATTAGCCTTTAAAATTTTTTTGATGTCATTTTTGAAAATTACCTAAACTTCTGGGACAAAATTGTTTAGCAAAATTTCTAATTTTGTAAGAATCTTAACTATTAAATTGTTAAATTTATCTTTTAAAAAGTTATTCAAGAAAAACAAACAATTATTTCATTGTGACGATGTCACAATGCCGGGCTGCAAGTTTTAATCATATTTAATTTAAAATATATGCTCTCCACTTCAAATTAGTAGTGTCTTGCCCCTGTACATCATACTTTTCCTTTAACAATAGAGTCGTGCCGGTCATCTAGCTAACACCTTTCAGGGGAAAATTTGAGTTAAAATAACATGACTTACAGTTTGCGTAGGACGTTATTATTAGTTAATCGAGGCCTCCTGCCCTTAAGGTTTCCATATCTGATCTCATCTTTCATCTATCTAACCCCATTCTCTAGATTATGGAAGGTCAGACAAGTGGCCGACAGTGCAAATTTATAGGTCTACAAGTTTTTTCAAATTGCAGCCCAATCATTTTACCTAAACTTTTGGGACAGACCTTATTCAAGTATTAAAAGCCTTTAAATTTAATAACAGGAAAAACAGGCATGTTTTTAAATTATAAAACAAAATTACTCTAATTAGATGATATCAGTTGTGTGATAATTTTACATAACTTTGTAAATTAACTGTTCAGGAGATCAACTATTGTGTTAAATTCAATGTTTGTCTAACTTAAAATAAGGAGAAAAATACATATGATTCAAGGAAAAACAGTGGTATAAGCTAAGTAAATATTCCAGTTTGTAATTCATACTGAAAAATCAATCAGAGATTGTCCAATAGTTCTAAAATTAATCACAACTCATTCCAGATTTCATATACAACATTCTAATTTTATTGAAATGTGGCACATATTGCAATTTATACATATTGAATGTTGTGAATGTGCATCACTGTACCAGATTGAAAATCGTTGTGCAGTCTGAATGAATAACACGGTTTTACAATATTTAATACAGTTAAAAAAATTGAAACAGTTGCAATATCTATTTTCTGGCCAAAAAATACTACTATCAGACAAACAGTTTCTTTTAAAAAGAATACTTTGAACAATGCTGTTTTTTTAGTTACATAAATGCTTTGTTAGAATTAAATGCAAAAGTATAAATTTACATCTATTATTCCTTTCTTACATTTTATTAAAAAGGTAGGGAATGATATTTTCTTGTCTGAAATAAAAATTTTTTTCAATTTTTAAAATCATATTTAAAGGATATTTATAGAAAATTAAAATTTTTAGCAATTAAATTATTTTATAATTCTTTATATTCAAAAGTATCAATAGAATACATCAAATTACAATTATAATAAAAGCAATACACAAGTATGGTATTTAAAATGAAAAAATTTTATAGAATATATAAAAATTCTCAGTACATATCCAATCATAATTAGATAAATCATTGTTAAAATAAGTAATTCATTGAGATAACCATAAAATTCTGTAAAAATGGATAACTACCAATAATCTATAATCATTTTAGTAAAATCATTTTCTGACATTCATTCCAAATGAGCTTGGAAGTAATTGTAAACCTAATTGTACATTACAATATACTTGATGAAATTTCTGTTGGCAATTACAAATTTCTTTACATAAGGCTAAATTTTCAGAAACTTTTATTGTTTATAAATATAACCGTAATTATTAACACTAATTCATAGTATAATATTGAAATGGCAGGAATTATTGGAAGGAAATTTAGTTACATAAAACACATTTCACAAGAAAAGCATATTTTTAGGAACACTGAAATCAGTTTTAAAATATCAATCGTGTCACAAGCAAATTTACATAATGTAATTTGATTATGAATTTTTACACTGTAAAAGAAAATATTTTCCTACATACATTTCGAAGTCTTAAATTATAAAATACCAAGAGTTTATTTAAATTTCTGAATTAATTAACCTTATGATGAAATCTATAGTGTAATTCAAAAGTCTCTATATATAGGCAAAAGGTTTACCTTATGCAGTTATTTATAAGGTCACAGAATATATGATATATGTGAGTATCATTTATATGAATGCATTCCTCCCAACTCATGAAGAAAGCATTTCAATACATGATGTTACAAGCACATATGCACATGCACATATGTATTCAGGTAGCCCGTTTTGTATAGAGACTTTTTTGAATCACCTTGTATTATATATAAATTAAAAGTACAAAGAACAAAAATTTTAAAATTTAATTTATTGGCATAAGTGACTGAGATTTAGAGATTGAAAGCAAGTGGACATTCAATTACTGAAATTTCAAGCAAAGTAAGTTGTTCAGCTTCAGGAATATATAATGTTTTGGCAAGAAAATTTTATATCTGCAACACGTTCAAGTCGACGTAAGGTATCACCCACAGATGAAAGATGTACGAGTATTATTAGACTAGTATCTAGACAAAATTTATCACTTAGTTACACACACTTAAAACTTGTCTTAGATATTTCTAAAAATAGAGTGTACAGAATAATACGTAAAAGTCCTTATATTAAACTAACAAGGATGTGTAAAAATCACCTCCCAAACCTGAACATCTTAAAGCAAGATTGATAAGGGCCAAAAGTTAGATTCAGTGGAAAGATAAATGGTTAAGTACACTCTTCGGTGATGAAAAAAAGTGGAACTTCGATGGTTCTGATAGCTGAGAAAAGAGTGTTTTACAGTGGACAAGGTGGNTTTATTAAAAAAATTCCTTTAATTTATTCTAATTAAAAGAAAAAAAGGGTTTTGTAATGGAAGATTTATGATTTAAGTTATTCACTATAGGTCACATTTACAGCCACTTCTAAAGACAAGAGGCAGACGTCTAGCATTCTTGGCTTGTTTGTGATTTTCATAACGACGATATAATCTCAAGCCTCCATATAATGGCAGAATAAAAATCCCAAGGCCAACTGCAACAGCACCAGCACAAAGAGCCAATGTACCTAGCATTGGAGCAACCATAATTTTGCTACCTGTATAACAAAATTAAAAATAAACTTAATGTTTTAATTATTGGTTTCATTTAATGCAATAAAAATTTATAATTAAATATTAAATAGAATTTAACAATTTATTTTAAAAATATAAATTAGTGCATATATTTTAAATTTATTATGCATAATTTTATTAGAACATTATATAAAAGCTTAACTAATAAAATTAATGTCTTAAGTTCAATTTTTATCAGCAAATGTTAACCAAAGAATTCACTCTGACCTAAATCGGTGAATGCAATATTTTTAGAAGAATTATTGTTTATATAAACAATGAGTTTTTCATTAAAAAGAAAAAAAAATGTATTTATATTACATAGGATATTAAATTGAAGTTAAGATAAACTGACATAGGTAAAAAGCTTTTTAGTCAATTACTACTGTTGTACAAACTATCACCACCATCAGATAGATAATTCAGTTTTCATGCATGCAAAAATAATTTTTTTTTGTATGATTAGCCACATAGAATAGAATAATTAGTAATCAAATCTTTGTACAGAGTTAATCAAAATCAATAGAAATATTGCAAAATCTTGAAACACCATTAAATATATTATGAAATAAAGTTTCAAGTATAATTTTATTTAAATTGGATTAGATCTGTAACACTATTGCAAAACTTAGCATTGAATTGAGTGATGTATATGTTCTACAGTCAATTATCATCATAGCAACTCATCTCTTTGGTTTCAATAAAAAAAAGTTCATCTATTTTCAATTCATAAGTTAGAATAATATCTAAATTTGACAGGAAAATGAAAAATTTAATGCTGTAAGAATATGGTATTTTTATATTTTAAAAAGTATTTGTTAACATTTCTAAGAAATTAAAGTGAAAATAAAATAAGTTATTTTTTTTAGGAAAATTTAGGTCTGATTTAAAAATTGGTTTTTCTTTAGGCATAAGTTTATATTGTAACTGGAAATTTGTATACGTACCAAATATAGTACCTCTTATTACTTTTCTTTGAATGGGTTTATCTGATTTATAACGATACTTGCAGCCAAAAATACTTAGTTTGCTGTAGTGATCTCCAAAGAATTTCAGTCTTCGAAATTTGTCTCCACAGCGATAGCAAAAATCAGTTTTACATCTTGTGCAATGCATGTGATCACATCCACTGGTTCTCTGAATGTATATCTAAAAAATTTTGAAACCATTTAAAATTATTTAAATTCTGTATAGCTAGCTTTCAAAAACATTCATATCTAAAAATTTTTTTAAATGTTTATCATCAGATTAATATGAAAATATTAACCATTTAACACATTTAATATTCAAGTCAAAATAAAAACCAAGTTTATGTATTAAGTAGATTAAAAAAAATTTGATATTATAAAAAAAATTTAAAGATAAAAATTTTCTAATCTTATTTAATAATTAAATTTTCTATCAAATTTTAAACATATATGTTTTATAAACAAAATTATACAAAAGAAACACACTTAAGAATTCTCTAGACAAGCCTATTTTTAAAAATTTACTAAACAATGCTTCAAAAAAGTTATTCACAATTAGCTCTTATAAAAAAATATTAATTTAAATTTATTACACAAAGGGCTCAAATTTAAAATTGTTCTCATTTACTTTTAAATTCTTTTAGACTTAAATTTAATATAACCTAGTAATATTTTTGTTTTTAGTTAACTATTATTGCAATCCAAATATTTAATTATAATGTGTTCTAAACATTTAAAATAATCAATATTCTGAATACTTAGGCTTTATTATACCATTTCCATTATGTTAACTTATTATATTTAATATTTAACAAAACTATTTTTAATATTCATAACAAAATTTATTAAAATATTTTCATTTTTTTAGTTAATTTAAAATACAAATAAAGTAAGTTTTAATGAATTTATACTAATAATTAAAATGCAAAGTATCAAAATTCTTTAGACAAAAATCCAGAAAAAAAATCAAGCTATCTGAATATTTGGACAAATTCACTGTTATAATCAGTACCGGTACAAAACACACATTATATTTTCACACAAAAAAATTTATAATTACTTTTTACATATAATTAAATTATAATGTAATTAATTCAGCTTGTAATAAATAGAAAAGTTACATGAGTAATACATGTACAGATGGATAATCTGACAGATCCAGCAGAGACAGGTGGTGCAGTGCACTGGGACCCAGTTAATTTTTCTTTGACAAAATGTTATTTTCAAATATTACATTTTTNTAAGATTATAACGTATTAAGATACCAAGATATTTGAATAATGATTATCTCATAAAAAGATGGAGAAAATTTCATATTTATTAATCTATTGTAAACTTAGAAATCAAAATAAATTATTGAAATAAAATTTTCTAGATTAAATGATCACATAGAAAATTTAAATATATATATCCTTTGAGAATTAGCATGTGGATAGAAAACTGCATTGTATGTATTCACTTTAACGTTTGGCCTGAGAAATATCACGAGTTTGAAAGGAAATTTCTACCGATCGATTTACATATTTTCTACATATAATATGTAAATCATCCTTGAAACGCATGAAAATTATTTAGATAAAGATCAACACGTTTTAACATTATATTTTATTGGTTGAAGCAACATTTATTCATTGTTGATTAAAATATTGTAAAATAATTTATAAAATTCACTTACTTTATCAGACGAAAACTACTTTTATAATGGAAGAATAAAAAAAAA